ACGGAAGCTATGCACGTCATTTTAGGGAAGAAAAGGTGTAGAAACGACATTCTTCTGGAGGGTTAGTAAGCACGTATCCGTTTTCGCGAGCGTCTGGTTTTGCGACACCTGGCTGGCACACCGTTCGCGGAACCAATTCGCGATTGCCGTTTTTTTTTGGGAAGGAAAGCGCCAAGACCGCCACTGAAATATGATGTTCAAGAAATTGACTAGCCGCGTCGCAAATGTGAACAAGTACGTTCCAAAACTGCGTCGCGTCGCGACCCGCCTATTGAGAGATTGAGCAGTGGCGTGTGAGCTCGAGATGCACTGTAACATATAGCGCTGTACCCTCAAGCGTTGTACACTTGATGCCCATTTCAGTATCGTTCCCCATCTTTCCCTGTGCTCCTCTTTCGAGCACGCGCTCGCTACGGGGAGAATGGGACTGTATCTGGGTAGCCTGGCGTGTCTTGTCTGGGAAACTCGAATAACTTATTCGAGGTCAAGAGAATCTTAGTTTTGTCGTGGGCTAGTAACGCGCGGGCCGTTGGCAGTGAATGTCGACCACTGGGCGTATGGAGTGGCAGCAGACGTGTTCTGAATGGGCGGTTGAGTGAGCATTAGGGTGTATCCTCATAGCAAGCCTTCGGTTCGGGTGGTTGGTCCGTCAGGCAAGTACTACACGTATTCGGTCTGGGCTGTGAGGAGAGCTGTTTTGCTATCGATACAGTCCGGTGCAGAGCTTTGTTTTCTTGAGTCATGAAATGGCACTCCGCGATCCGTTGCTTCCTGTTTGTCGGAGGTTACGCACTCCGTGGTCCCAGCAGCTCTCACCAAACAGGTCCAATGAGCTAGAAACTTGTGCTGCGCTGGTTTAGCAGCCTCCCCACGCCCTTTTGAGACACACTGACAGGACCTTGCGCAATGGAGTTGACCGTTATCATGTCAGAAACCTTTCTGCAAAATACTCATTCACGGTACATGGACGACATGGAAACCTTCAGCAGAATGTGAAGCAAAAACAAGTGCAAAACGTATCACATACAAAACACCCACTTTAATAGGCAATCACAGCCCACCCGATAAGAATCAATGCATACGTGAAGCAATTTCTGTTTACCACTCATATGCAGTGGATCTGGCTTCTGATATCCAGTCCTTGTGTCTCTGCCGCCGCCGCGGATCCGCCACAACCACTTTCTAGATTCTCATATTCTTGCTGCTTTTTGTATATAAAACAGCTACCACAATCATCAACGTTTCCAGAAAAAAGGCAGTGGTTGTGAAACCTGGAGTTGAGAAACGCGTGTAGTACTCTTCTTTGCTTCCTCCCTCTTCCGCCTCACACCCTTGCTTCCCGTTACTGCGGTCAACTTCCCGTTTCCTTTTCCTGTTACTCTTCAGAGTCAGTCGTCCTGGTCCGCCATTGGATGCTCAGGCCTAGTTGGATGCTGTCGAAGCGCCTCCTGATCTCGACTTGGAAAATGTTGCGCTTTCACCCGGCAATTTTTCGTCAGACGAATCGCCCGCCATCACCTGCACGAACACCAGGGCGCTCAGGTCCTCCGCCGAGCGCAAGTTCAGGTCCTCCGCGCCTCTTACTCTCCGCCGATGTGGGGGAAGCGCGCGCGGATCTTCTTTCGGTTTCCGCCTGGCCGCATCGAGCGCCTTTCGCACAGCCGCTCGGTGCAAGCGGACAAACGCGGGATGCGGGCGAAGCATTCCCGCGTGGTGCGCCTTGATCACACAGTCACTCCCGTCATCCGAGCCGGTTTTCCCGCCTGCCTCGCCGCCCCTGACGGCGGCATCAGCGGCGGCGGCGCCGGAGGCGGCGGGTTCGGAGCTACTGGCGATGTTGCTCGTGATCATGTTCTCTGATCGATCCGCGCAGGGGACCGCGTTATGCACGCGGATACGCGGGGTTCTAACCAAGATTCCATCTTGGATTTTCTCGACGCGAACGGAATGAACGTGCTGGATGATGAAGAGCAGGAGCGTGATGATGAATCGTACGGCTGGTGCGGTGAAACAATGTCGGTTACGGTGAAACAATGTCAACATCATGTCGCGTCGAGCGGATCCAGGGTCAAGCGCTTGCGATGAAGTCGATTCTCGCTAAAGGATTGCGAACCGGGTTACCGCGCTGACCTTCTTGGAAGTGACTCGCGGTGCTCATCAGACGTGGCGAGGAAAGGTTTGAAGATGTGAGTGACTTCTTGGCTGCGTCGTTCGCCACGGAAGAAATTGTTTCAGAGGAGAATGACCACTTCTAAAAGAACGACACATTTATATCATGGCGGTGATGTCTCGTTTATCCCATCGGATTAACGGCAGCTGATGGCAAAAGGTCGTAAGAGACTAGCGTGAATGCCACAAAACGTGCGGTGAGACCGGCAAAGCTTCTCCCTAGGGAGCTGCTGCTGTAAACTGTCTACTTCACCATGGGAGAAGCAGCTGCTGCTGTAAACTGTCTAGTTCACGATGAGACACAAGCTTGCACGTTCCCTATGTCCTTACATGCTCTATGTAAAGCTTGCACGTCTGCTTCTGAGAGAGCAGTCTGCTCCTAAGAGTCGGGAGACGTCTCTTTCCAAAGTCAACGGAACGAGCATCAACTGACCACTTGACCCCATGAAGTCTTCTAAACCGATTGACTACTCCTTAGGGCGTGTTGCAATTTCGAAAATTGAAGGATCGTGGATGCACACCGATCCCTTGTTGGAGATCCTGGGCCCACTGCGTTATCGATCACTGTACCACGACCGCCCAAGCGTACTACCACCTTGAGTATTGCGACAGTGTGGTTTCGCTTTTCAAACGCACAAACAATAAGGGCGCGTAACCATTTTGCACCCGACGGTTCGAACCGTGGACCGTCCGGGTGGCGAAAAGGTAACAGTATTCGCTCTAAGTCGTTAACAGACATCGCCAACTTAACGGACAGTCGTGACACTTTTTCCCATTTTCTACGGTCCGAAATCTGAACCGTGGACAGTCCGAATCTCAAACGGACTGTCCGAATTTCCTTGCATCCGATTGGTGCACGACGTAAAAATTCTCAAGCATCTCGTCCACCAACAAAAACATGTGGTGGGATTTCGCAAATTTACACCGACCAACCAGAGACAACTTTTTTAGAACAATGATTCGACAACGAAAAACACGAAAACCGAGAATCACGTAAGGCTTGTACAGTTGTCGCGAATTTGTACAATAGACGAAAAGTGTCACAACTGCCTTCGGACAGTCCGAAGTTGCAAATTTTCACTTCGGACGGTCCCGTTTTCAGTAAGTGGACCGTCCGCTTCGTTTTAAGCGGACTGTCCGTCAAAATCATAAAATGCAAAATAGTTACGTGCCCTAAACACCCTGTTCGCCACTGACTCGTCAAATTTTGCAGCCCGTATAACACTTAGGGCGTATCTTGGGTTCCGGTCATGAGCACTGTTCATGGCACTGTTCCGGTCATGCGGTTTTTGCGCATGACCCGAAGTGGGCTGCCGAGCCGCGCGCGGCCCCAGCTTTGGGTTAATGTGCAGCAGGTGGGCGACTGACGTGCACGACCCACCCCCAACCAATCACCTGGTTGCAAGATTCACGTTAGACTGCCGAAATTTTGGCGGTCGTCAGTCGAGTGCCACAATTTTCCCGCGTACCGTATCCTACACCTCTGCACCCAACTACTCGGTAAAATGTCCCTATTTATCCACGAAATGTGTCTAACATTTCCCGCGTCGCGCTCCCAACATTTGGGGATTCATGCCGACATTTTTAGCGATCGTGTTTTGCGTGGGTGTCGCAAACGAACTTTCGGACTGTTCTGGCATCCCTCCATTGGATGCGACTGTTGTTTGGGGCGTAATTTTGGCGTGAAAAGCCTCGCGCCAATTTGGGGTCTCATGAGTCCCGAGAACCCAGAGTGGTGTTTTTAATTGTTCCGGGCATCCGCAATTCGCGCATGCCCGGAACAGTGCTCATGACCGGAACCCAAGATACGCCCTTACATGCGAGTTTTTCTGCGCATCGCGAAATGGTGTCGTGACTGTATGTTTTCCTGCATCGTCAATCTCACGATCGATCTTCGTGGCGACGAGATCGAGCTGGTTTTCGCCAATCTCCTCGGTCGTTCACTGTTCTAAAACTGTGGTACGGTAACCTGACGCTACAGAAGTCGACCACAGTGAGGATCGGTTCGAGAAGGCGATCGATCTCTACTTGCAAGTTACTACGATACCGGTTACTCTCCCAGTGGCCGATTTGGGAAGCGACTGCGAATTGTACTGTTGAACAAAGAAACAAGTACTGTACAGAAGGCTCGACTGACGTGGTTTAATACGTTTCATCGCGTTTACAAGCGGTTCTCGATTTTCACCGTTCTTGACCATTTTGCACCGTCATTTACCTTTCACAGTCAATTGCAAACGAATCCGCGCTGAAGGAGATCAGGGCTTCCAAATCGACTGGAACCCATTTGAATCTCATGTAGTAGTCCCGACTCGAGTCGCAGGTCCTGGTTGATGCCAGAAGTCGGAGGATTCATGCTTGAGTTATTCTGTACGCCCTAAACTATTCTTCACCATTGATGAAAGATATGTTGAATCTGTGTATGATGAGGCTTCCAGTTTTCCTCAAACCTAGCTTGCTCACAAGTCTCCTCCAGGTACCAATACACCTAACGAATCAAGTTTACACCCCAATACTTGGCTGGCACGATGCTCCCAGGTTACTTGCTCTCTGTACATGACATTCCTCGAAAACAGGCCGTTGCGTTCCTATCCTCGCATCACAAAACACATCATACCACACTTATCCGCATTTCTTGGCAAACGGTATCGTGGTAACTATCTGTGCCGCACTTCATTTGTGATGCAAGGTTTTGTTTGCGCATTAGGAATGTACCCTAACTATCCCCTGACTGCGTTGAATCGACTCGAGGAGATGCTCCATCCTCACTTCCATCACCACGTGCCCGCTCTTTCGTCCTCTTCCTATTGTTTGCCATGTTTCTGTGATACCCACTATTTCCCCTGACTGCGTTGAATCGACTCCAGCAGATGCTCCATCCTAACTTTCATCACCACCTGCCCGCTCTTTGTCCTCTTCCTCATCTGCCCTCTCAACTCCCTCCTCCTCCTCTCCACCTCCTCCCTCTTTCTCCTCCCCTCCTCCATCTCCCTCCTCTTCGCTTCCCTCTCTGCCGCCTGTCTCGCAGCCTCCTCCTCTCTCTTCTTCCATATCCTCTCCAGCCGATTCAACGGCCTCTGCCTCACACCCTCCCCTCCTCCCCTCCCACCCTCAGCACCCCTCGCATTTCCACCCGCCACCCCTCTCTCTCCTCCCCTCCCGCCTCCCGATCCCCGGCCTCGTCCCCTCCCCTTGCTCACACCACTTCTCTCCCACTCCTGTGCGCCCTCCTCCCGTTTTGATCCCGATCCTAGGCCATCCGCCCCATGGTCCTCTTCCCCTGCTCCCTCCTCCTCCTCTTCATCACTTGAATCGTCCTCTTGACCTGCTTCCTCTTCCTCCTCCTCTTCCTCTTCCCCATCCTCATCCCCCTCTACTTCCTCTTCCTCCTCCTTCTCTTCCTCCTTTTCCCCTTCCCCCTCGTCTCCCTCCTCTTCCATCCTCCCATCACCCCCCAGCAATCCGTTCGTCCGGTCGGTCCCTGATGCCTTCCTCTCCCGCCCAATCATCTTTCGGTACTTCTGCACAGTTCTCGCATCGTTAAGCACCTTTCGACGTTTCCCTGCCAACAGGAGCGGGGATAGCGTACAGGGTTCAGGGTTTTCACATCATTGAACTATCAAGCACCAGTCTACAGTTGTGCACAGCTATCATTCGGTACTTCTGCACAGCTCTCGCATCGTTAAGCACTTTTCGTCGTTTCACTGCAGACGAGAGCGGATAGGGTACAGGGTTCAGGGCTTTTGAGTTAAAAAGTCTGTGCACGCGTTTTGAGACATCTCAACGCTTTTCCTAAGAGTCTGTGCACACTAAGGAACGATGGTTGAAACAAAAAACAGGAGGCACAGCACTTTGTTTAATTCTTGAATGCTTCTTGGAAGTCATTTAAGTACTTGAAACGGCAAATTTCAGGTCGACCAAGTCGTGTGCGTTAACCAGTCTCACCGGGAGTGCGGGGGAAGGGGGCAGGGGAAGCGGGGGAAGGGGGCAGGGGATGCGGAGGAAGGGGACAGGGGATTCGGGGGAAGAAGCGGAGGCGAGGACCGCGAAGGAGAGAAGGGCGGAGGGGAATGCAACGCACGGAGCTCGTTGGCGGAAAGATGCGTCCGCTGCGGCGCCATGTATCTCTTCCGCCCGCGGAACCCCTTCCGCACTCCCCCGTCCGCGCGCGGAACATACTTCTCCAACACGCCTAGCCGCAACACTCCGCCGCCGCCCCTTCCCCTTCCGCCTCCGCCCCTTTCGCTTCCCCCTCGCCCCTTCGCGCTTCCGCCTCTTCCCCCTCCGCCTCCGCCCCGCGCGGCTGAAGACGGGGGAAGGGGCTTCTTCATGCCTGCGCCGATGGGTTTGCTAAGGCTAACGACCTGACGCAGCTGCTCCGTCGAAGAAAAGCGAAGGGTTTTTTTTTTTTTTTTTTTTTTTTTTTTTTGGAATTTGCAAGAATCGCAAGTGTATGCGGGGGGGATTTACGTCCTCGCGACAGAGGATGATAATTCCCTCATAGTCAACTGTAGTAACCGCCTCTAAATTATTTTAGCGCCTACAAATATACCTCAAACGACATCTGTTGTCATATCGGAAGTGACCGTTCTGAAGGAGACGTTTTGACTCAATTCGAGAGTCGTGCGCTCCTCCTTCATACAACTGACGATCAGTCTTGCGACAACCGACGATAAGTCTCGCACAATGCAACTGTAGTGATCACGGAGGTTGATTTTCCAAAGGAACGAACACGAGCTCCAGTAGCTGCTGTTGCCACTGCCAGTTTTGTTCGGCTGCGGCTTTTGGTCCAGAGATTATGCCAACTGTATCGACTGCAGGAGCACCATCTTTTTTTCCACCGAGTTGTTGCTGAGGGACAGCAGTAATGAAGGTTCTGGGCTGGGCTTGGGCTTTGCGGAACGGGGGTTTCGCGAAGTGGAGGTTGTGGGTTTTCGCGAAACCCGCTGCTACCAAATGCACATCAGCGTTACAGAATCTTACGATAAGCCACTATTACTACAGAGATAAATTCTAGCTTCTGATTTTCTGAATAATAACTTCCGTAATTTACTCAAAGAAGCGCAGATGGTCAAGATAGGTTCCAAATCGAAACAGAAAACTGGAACACAAATCACATCGGCACGGTCACCCTTCATAACAACCAGTCTGACACGCGACAGCATGCAATGCACGCACAAGTAATTTCCACCGGCCTCATGGAAACCATATTCAATCAACCGTCACTCCCTAGTCCTGACAATCTCTGAAGCAAACTGCCCTACACAGCTGTAACAACAGCGCCAATTGACAGCAGCAGTTGGCAGTGGCGGTGATGACAGTGGCAGTTAACAGCAGCAGCACAGCAGTTGCCACGCTCTCAGGCCCTTGCTCCACTAGCCTTCCAGCCAACGGCACAGCTAGTAGCTGGGCGGCGGGGGCTGCCAGGCAGGAGCAGGGCGCGGCAGGAGGCCAGGCGAGTACGGGAGAGGAGCCGGGGCTGCACGGGCAAGCAGGGCAAGGAAGAGTGGACACACGGGCACAGACGGGCGGGTGTGATGAGGGAGGGTATAGGGAATGATTTGGGAGCGTATAGCTGCAGTGCTAGCAGTAGCAGGGCGCGGCAGGAGGCCAGGCGAGTATGGGAGAGAAGCCGCGGCTGCACGGGCAAGTGGACCGGGATACGGGCACAACGGGGTGTGTCACTTTGAGATTTCTCAAAAGAGCCCGGGAGAGTACGGCAGAGGTGTTACACAGGAAAACAGGACAGGAGAAGGTGGATACAACCAAGGGCAGATAGGGGTGTGTGATGGGGGGTGGGTGATGAGGGGAGTGGGATAGATGCTGCGCTAAGACCAGCAGCAGCACCAGCAGTGGCAGCAACAACAGGTGCAGCAGCTGCGTTTGCCTAAAAAAACAGATTCAGGAGATGAAGCAGCAACAGGAGCAGCAGCAGCAGCAGAAGCAGCAGCAGGAGCAGCAGCAGGAGCAGCAGCAGGAGCAGCAGGAGCAGCAACAGACACAGCAGCAGAAGCAGCACTCTCACCTCCACCAGGAGCAGGAGCAGTCACCCAGTCCGGCATCCCTCCCCCCGCCGCCAGCGTTGCAGCAATCTCACCATCAACAGGAGAAATTGTCTCACCTCCAGTGGGAGCAGGAACAGGAGCAGCAGGTATGGGCGCAGTCACCCAGTCCGGCATCCCTCCCCCCGCCTCCAGTGCTGCAGCAATGGGATCATACGCACCGTCCCCCGCCGCTCCCCCTGCTCCCCCCGCTCCTCCCGCTGCTCCTCCCCCCATGGTGGCAGCAGCTGCGAAGGGGTCGTAGGAGGAGGGGGGTGCAGAAGAGGCGGTGAGGGGCGCAGCAGAGGAAGAGGCGGAGACAGGAGCAGAGGAGGAAGCGAGCGAGTAGGGGTTGTAGGGGGACGAGAGGGGGGGAGGAGCGGCAGTGGAGGAGGAAGGAGCGGTGGTAGGAGGCATAGGCGCAGGAGGAGAAGGGCCAGCACCAGCAGCACCAGCACCAGCACCACCAGCACCAGCACCAGCACCAGCAGCAGCACCAGCAGCAGCAGAGCCAGCAGGGGCAGTGGCGCCACCAGCAGCAGCAGCTGAATATGGGTCATATGGGGGAGGCTGGTAACCCATGCAACCGGTAGACGGGGGGTAACTCGGAGCAGGTGAGTAGGTGGGCGCAGCAGCAGGAGCAGCGGCAGGAGGAGCATACTGTCCCTGTGCTTGCTGCTGCTGCTGCTGCTGCTGCTGCTGTGGCTGCTGCTGCTGCTGTGGCTGCTGCGGCTGCGGCGGGTTGTACGGCTGCTGCTGCCCATAAGCCGGCTGCTGCTGCTGCTGCTCCTGCCCGTACGGTGCCCCATAAGGCCCCGGCTGTGGGGGAGGGTACTGGCCGTAAGGGGGCGGCTGGCCATAGGGAGGCGGCTGCTGCCCATACGCCTGACTGTATCCCCCATAGCCCTCCGGGGGAGCACCAGAATACCCCTGCGGTAGAGCAGGAGCACCACCTTCTCCCCCTCCTGCCCCTCCTGCTGCCCCTCCTTCCACCCCACGCCCGTCCTTCTCGTCCCTCCTCCTGTGCTCCCTGTCCCGATCGCGCTCCCTCTCCCTGTCCCTATCCCTATCCCGATCCCTGTCCCTGTCTCTGTCTCGGTCCCTGTCATCGCGCCTGTCTCGGTAATCGCGGTCGTCCCTGCGGTCCCGATCGCGCCTGTCCCTGTCCCTCTCTCGCTCTCGATCCCTCTGCCTATCCCGATCCCGATCCCTCTCCCTATCCCTGCTCCGATCCTTCTCCTTCTCCCTCTCCCGATCCTTCTCCCGCTCCTTCTGCCTCTCCTCCCGCTCCTTCTCCCTCTCCTTGCTCTCCTTACTCATGGCAGCAGCAGCGAGCCGTGCTTGAGCAGCCTTAGCAGCAGCAGCAGCCAGCGCAGCAGCAGTAGACGACTTACCACTCCCACCTCCCTTCCCATCCCCCTCACCATCCTTCCCCTCTTCCTTCACACCCCCCTCAGCTTTCGTCTGCCCGTCATTCTGCCCGTCCTGCTGCCCGCCCGCTACCTGCCCCGCCTCACCTTCTTTTGCCACCTGGGACGTCAGGGCGGCGGACGGCACATACGTCCGAATCTTGCCTTCCAAAGCACCACCACCACCAGAAGCAGCTGACACACCATCCCCACCAGCAGCAGCAGCAGCAGCAGCACCAGCGGCAGCACCAGCGGCAGCAGCAGCAGCAGCTTCTTTCTCCTTCTCCTGCTGCTTCTTCCTAGCAGCCTCCCGCTCTTTCTCCGCCTGAAACGCTGAGGCTGCCGCCGCCGCCACAGATTCAGCAAACGACTTCTTACGCTTCTCCCCCTGCTGCTTCTCCTCCTGCGGCTCCTCTTTCACTCCCTTCGCCTGCCCCCCCCTGCCCGCAGCCTCAACTGCCCCTTCGTTTTTTGGCTCACTCGCGGTCGCGTCACCACCAGCACCACCAGCAGCAGCACCGGCTGCGGCAGCAGCGTCACGTTTAGTCGCGGCGGTGGCAGCAGCGACAGCCATGGCAGCAGGGGCGCTTCCAGCCGCCTCCAGCTCTTCCGCCGAGCACTGCTTGTACTCCCCAGTGGTAACATCGTAACGGAACCACTGGCGCGAGTCCGAGTGGTAGTAGAGGTCTGTCCGGAGGGGAGAGAAAGTGGTGTGGAGAGTGAGGGAAGGGGGGGTAAACGAGAGAGGTAAGGGCAATGGAGTAACTTCGTGCCTCCACCACTCCAGCTCGTCAGCCGAACACTGCTTGTACTCCCCTGCGCTGACGTCGTAACGGAACCACTGGCGCGGGTCCGAGTGGTAGTAGAGAAGTGGCCAAAACCGCACCTGAGGCGCTGTCGTAATAGAAGCTGTGGTGCTATCGTGGTAACACCCCGGCAAGAGGACTTTTGTGCTAACTTAAATCACACGTGAGGCACTACCATTCCATGAGGCTAATACAAGCGGGCTAATCCGCACCTGAGGCGCTGTCGTAACAGAAGCTGGTGGTGCTGTCATAGTAATACCCCAACGTCTCGTCCCACACGAAACCACTGCAGAATTACCATGGGACTCATAGGCACAGGCGCACTCATAGGCACAGGCGCACTCACAGCTAACTACAACCCGCACCTGAGGCACTGTCGTAATAGAAGCTAGTGGTGCTGTCGTAGTAATACCCCGACGCCTCATCCCACACAAAGCCACCGCCCGTCTGCGCCTGCTGCTGCCCCCCCGCCGCCGCCTCGTCATACTCCTTTGGCATCCACCCAGACGCCTCCATCTGTGGAAAGGGCAATGAAGGGGTGGGTGAAGCACAGATAATGATGCTTGGCCATCCACGCTGACGTCTCCATCTGAAACGTGAGTAACGTGATTGTGAAGAGAAAACCCGGAACACAGAGAGAGTGAGCGTGTGAGTGCACAGCTGCCGCTACCTCGTCATACTCCTTGGGCATCCACCCTGACGCCTCCATCTGTGGAGGGGCAATGAATGAAGGCAACAAGGGGGCCGTGAACACAGAAAGGGAAGGGTGTGACGGTTGTGAGTACCGCTGCTGCCTTGCCATACTCCTTAGGCATCCACCATGACGCCTCCATCCATGCAGTAAGGGGCAATGAGGGCGAAGAGGGAGACCAAGAGTCAGAAATGAAAGGTGTGATGGATGTGAGTGCTGCTGCTGCTGCCTCGTCATACTCCTTGGGCATCCACCCTGACGCCTCCATCTGTGTAAAAGGCAATGAAGTGCACACAGCGCCGCCACCAGCAGCGGCGGCAGCGTCGGAGAGGGGCGTGGAGGGCAGGGCACTCCACAACACCTGAGGAACCAAAAGTCTAAAGCACCCGGGGGAACACCCAAACGCACACCTGAGCCATGACGTCAGTATCCTCAGCAGCGCTGCCACCAGCAGCAGCGGCGTACGCAGCGGTAGCAGCGTCAGCAAGGGGCGTGGAGGGCACTCCGTGGTTGGGGCCGCGCGCATACGCCACTCGCATGACCGGCCCGCCTTTGAAGAGGCGCTTGTTGTGGCATGTGAGCATGGCACGCGTGGCTTGATCCACCTGGGGGTAGGGGAGGGACGGACGAGGAGTAAGAGATACGCACAGCATGTAACAGGGATGACGAGGTGGAGGGATCAAATGGAAGGAGGGAAAACGAGAGAGGCGAGAGGAGGGGCTGATTGCGAGACGGAGGGGACGTGGGAGAAAAGCAGAGTGCGAGAGGGAGGGGGGGTGGCAGACGAGAGCCGGACGCCATGGGGGGGGGTGGCCAGGAGACATGAACATGCTGAGCACCAGAAGCAGCGCACAGACCCTAATAACATGCCCAACATGCTGAGAACTCACAGAGCCGAGGGTGACGAATGCGAATCCGCGTGACTTGAGAGTGATCTTGTCCCGCATCATACGCACGTCCTGGCGTGGAGAGCGGAGAAGAAGAGGGGCAGATAGATAAAGGGAATAAAGGGGCAGAGCAATAGAGGGGTAGAGAGACGGAAGGGCAAAGAGAGAGATCCACAGATGGAACGATGAATGGGTTTCTAGACGTCTCAAAACTTGAGCGCAATTAATAAAGATAACAAAGCGTACTCTATTAATTACATGGTAATAGTTGAGGGGTTGATTAACCTGACTTACTTGCAAAGCACACTTTTCCCTCAGCCGTACCCACCCTTACGACCTCACACATCCCAAATCATACTTCTCAATACAGTGCCACTGCTTACAGTCACACTAGAGCCACTTACAGTAACGGAACCGTGCTGGGAAAACTCCTGCCTGAGGCTCTCCTCGTGGACGCTGTCGTCCAGACCTCTCACTATAAGCACGTTCGACGCATCTGGACCCATGGCCGCAGCAACGGGCGCCGCCCTCCCTCCTCCTCGCCCCCCCCACTCGTCTCCTCCGCCTCTGCCTCCCCTCTCCTCGCCCCTGTCAGCAACAGTGACGGGATTGGCAGGCCTGCGGGTCACACACTGGTCAAAGGAAAGGGGGGCAAGCAGCAGCAGGAGGAAAGAAAAGAAGGTTGAGTGGAAGCAAACCACGTGAGTTCGTTGCCTCCTCCCACCCACCTCGCCTCTGTCGGCAACAGTGATGGGATTTGGCGGGCCTGCAGGTCACACACACTGTTCTAAGGAAAAGGAAAAGATAGCGGCGACTGGAAATAGTAAAACAAGGTGTTTCTCCCCCTCTTTCGGTCGTTGCAGTGAAAGCGGCAGTAAAAAAATTTGAGAAAGAAGCTATTGCCATCACATCACATCACAGAGAGGAAGAGCCAGTCGCAATCGACCGAAACAGTAACGTTACACGAAAATATCATCACAGCTACGCAAAAGGAGCACAGCCTGACAACAGGCTTCGAGAAATGGCGCCTGCTGACCGGACCAAACAGCGGAAAATTGAGCGAATCTGCACCCAAAGAGGCAAAAGGGCCCACGTTGAAGCACTTGGCGCAGCGAGCAAAGTTGTTGACGCCGCATGAGGGGGCAGACCCAGTCGAGGGGCAGACCCAGTCGAGGGGCTTCTATTAAGGCTCTTCTAAGGTGGGACAGGAAGCACCCACCTTGAAGCTTGCGGAATGGCAGGCGAAGTTATTGACATCGCAGGAGGGGCAGACAGACCCAAGCGATGGGCTTCCATAAGGGGTTTCTAAACAGGGATTCTGAAGGGGAACAGACAAACACCTAACCTTGAAGCACTCGGAGCGACGAGCGAAGTTATTGACACCGCAGGAGGGGCAGACCCAGTCGAGGGGCTTCTAAACGGGGTTCCAGAGGGGGAGGCTGAGTGGGACAAGAAACAACTAACCTTGAAGCACTCAGAGCGGCGGGCGAAGTTATTGACACCACAGGAGGGGCAGACCCAGTCGAGGGGCTTCCCCGAACTGCTGTCCGCAAGTGGCCCCCCGTCCTCCGCCCCTTGCAGCGGCTTGCTGTTAGGTGGTGAGAGAGAGCAGGGAAGAGCGGGGAGGAGGCGAGGGAGGAGAGAGAGGGGAAGAGAGAAGGGAACAACGAGGCCCACGAGGAGGGAGAGAGAGGAGAGAGAGGGGAAGAGAGGGAGTGAACAGAGAGAGGGGGACACAGGAAGAAAGGGAGAAGGAACAAGAGAGACAAGGGAGACAAGGGAAGTAGGAGAGACGGACGAGGCACAACAGGGCACGCAGCACGGCGAGGGGCACGCAGGGATGCGGGGGAGGTGGGGGGAGAGAGGGAGGAGCAGGAGACGAATAATGAGTGAGATAAGTGCGCATGGGAGCGAACGCCAAGTCCTGAGTGCAGCAGAGCAGAGACGAATGGCAGCAATGGCTGGGGCGAGCACTAGGCAGGTGGGACAATCTGAGAGGGTGATGAGCAGGTGAGTGAAAGTGGGAGGGTGTTGAACGAGAGGCTGTTTGCTCCAACAAACCCAGCCTCCCTCCATTGCACATGAGGTGCCCTTTCGCGTCAAGTGCCTTAACGCCCCTCCAGAAGTCTCCAGACTCTGCAAAAGTCTCTCACGCCTCCTGGATTGTATGACTCGCACCGATTGTACCCCTTCAGAGAAAAAAAGGTATGTCTTTTGGAAACACCAGCGAACCTCCACGCTCAAACGGCGCCCCGGCTTCTTCCAGTTGCTGTTGCGCCAACGCCAACGTCACAGTCTTGGCACGTGGCAGTGCTAAACAAATAGCTGTCAAAAGAAAAGCAAGTGTCCAGTGACGAGCAAGTGTGAGCAGTCCGATATGCTCACAACCCAGACCAGTGTGTCGTTAACAAGAGTGCCCTTTAATCTCTTTATTGTCTTTAATCTCCACCTGTAGTGGAACAAGAGCAAGCGGTCATCCATCTTTAGCTCCTTGCCCCTCGCACCCTCCACCAGCGCCTTTGCCGCGTCCTGGGAAGAGGCGGTCGTTGGGAGAGATGTGGGACGAGGGGGAAGGGGCGAGGGAGGGGAGCGGGCGAGGGGAAAGGGGAGGAAAAAAAGGACGGAGGGGATAAGAAAGGATACGGTCGCACTTGAACATCGAGAGAGAGAGCAAGGTTGGGGTGGAGATTGATGAGAAAGAAGACGCGGAGGGGTGGAGAAAGGAGGGAACGGAAATGAGACTGCGGAAGCGTCATGGCCAAGGGGAATAGCAGGGAGACGGCAGAGGCGTGCGGGAACGCGGGGACGGAAGGAGAGGGAGGGAGGGAGGGAGGGAGCGCGTGAGAGGAGCACAAGTGAGGAGAACGGGTTGAATCAAGGTAATAAGGGCCACGTGAGGAGAATACGGAGAGAGAAAGCAGGAACCGCATGGAACCGCACTGATGACCAGCAAGCCCTGCTTTGCTTCTGGAATGGGGAAGGGAGAGAGTGAAGAAATCGCCAGGCCACTCCTGCTTTCGCGAATGAGAAACAGGGCTTAGAGCTTGCCAAAATCTGAGCGAACTGTCAGAAGAACGAGCCGGAACACGCATGCGTCGGTGGAATAGCGGAGAAACGAATGATGCGTCCACAGCGACAAGCGCGCACGAGAGGCAAGGAAGCCACGGAGACGCACCACAGTCTCGAGATCAACGAAACAGAAACCCTTGTTGAACCCGGTGGCTCGCTCCTTGATGACTCGCACCTCCTTCAACGGCCCCCACTCGCCCTGCCGTCGCATCGACGTTCACACACAGGCAATGGAAACGGAACGAGAGCACACATTGAACGGACCCCTTGATGAAACCGTGGCTCGCTCCATAATGCCCCACACCTCCTTAACTCCTTCGAAACTTGCAACGTTGAAGTGTAGCTTAGCGGCGGAGAACAATTTCAAGAGCGCAAAGAACGCATTTCCAGAACATGAATCTTCCAGAAAACGTGACAGACGCGAGTTGCTCCGGCTTGCGAGTAAGACCTACATGCTTAAAAAAAAAAAACAGAACGAGTGGCTCAATCAATTTCGCAAAGGCAAACCTCAAGAGCAACACAAGCACACGCGGCGGCGGCCCTTACCAGCAGCGCAAAAATATCCGCCTCCACAGCCCACGGCGCGATGCCGCGGATGAGCACCGTGCTCGTCGGCTGCTTTAAGAACGTCACATGCATACAAAGCAGCGGCTCTTACCAGCAGCGCGAAGATATCCGCTTCCACAGCCCACGGCGCAATCCCGCGAATGAAACAATTCGCTAAACAATCGTCTAAGCAGGTCATACCAGCAGCGCGAAGATATCCGCCTCCACGGCCCACGGCGCAATCCCGCGAATGAGCACCGTGCTCGTCGGCTGCTCCGGACTGACCTCCCTCCCGCGCCCGCGCCACCCGCCGAACCGCCCCCGCCCGTACGGCGACCGCGAGCGCGACGCCGATCTCCCCCGCCTGCGTCGCACGGGCGACCGCGACCGCGATCGCGACCGCCGCCTGCGAACCCTGGGCGACGGGCTCCTGCGCGTGGGCGACACGGACCCAGGCTTCCTCTCGCGGACCGGGGACCTGGATCGGCGGCGGGGAGGGGAGCGGGAAAACGACCTCCCCCTCCCTCGGCGGAAGTACGGGGAGCGCGAGCGGGAGCGGGAGCGCCGGCGCTTCTCCCCCGCCCGGTCTTCCGCCTTCTTGTCCTTGTCCCCCTCCGCGGGTGTCCCTTCCGCCCGCGCCGCTTCCGCCTGCTTCGCAGCAGCCATAGCCAGGGCCATGGCGAGTCCCGGGTTAACTGCTCCCAGCTTCGCGCTGTTCGCGGCGGCGGCCAGTAACGCGGCCTTCGTTACAGCGGCAGAAGCGGCGTTCGACCCGCCGATCGCCGCGACCTGCGCCGCGAGAATCGGGTTACTCGCCAGCAACGGGTTCTTTGCTGCAGCGGCGGCCGCCGCAATCGCCGCCGCAGCAGAGCTCGTGCCGCCAGATCCCGTCGATCCGGTGATCGCGGCGGAGACAGCCGCGGCGCGCTGCTGCGCCGCCGCCAGTTGCGGGTTCGTCGCCGCGAGAAGCGCAGAAACGGCAGATCTTGCGGCAAGAATCTGAGTCATGGCGGAAGTAGCAGCTCCGGTCGTAGCATCCGCTCCGGCAGCCTTCCCCATGACCACTTCCACCTTGGGCTTCGATTTGCGCGGCGACTCGTCTTCGTAGATTGAGCTCGGAGTAGGCTTAAGCGGGTCGCTGTATAAGCTCTGCGGCGGCGGGTAGCGATTCAGCGACGGCTTCGACGAACCATCGCGATCCCGATCCCGATCCCGGTCGCGATCCCGATCGCGGTCCCGGTCGCGGTCGCGGCCACGTTCGTCCCTGTCTCTTCCCCTCTCCTCCTCCGGCTGCTGCGGCTGCTGACGTTGCTTCCACGGGGCTGCCGCGGATGGATCGGGTCGCCCCTCAGGAGGCCGCATGCCACCTGGCATCTGCTGAGTTGGCGGATACTGCCCCTGAGCTGACGGCTGCCCCTGCGCCTGCCACGGCGGAGGGGCGTAACCCGCCGGCGGCTGTTGCGGCGGTAGATGCGGCGGCGGCTGCTGATGCTGCTGCGGCGGCGGGTAACCAGGTGCCGGCCCGCCATACGCGGGTGGGTGCGGGCTGTAGCTCGTCTGGGGAGGAGGCGCGCCGGCGTACGGAGCACCGCCGGCGTAAGGCTGGTACTGCGGCGGCGGCGGGTTATAAGGCTGTGGCGGCGGCTCGTTATAAGATGCTGGTGGGGGACCTCCGCCGTAAGGGGGAGGCGGACCCTGGCTGTACGGCGGAACCTGAGGCGGACCCTGGCTGTATGGAGGATAAGAGGCTTGCTGCTGAAACTGCTGCTGCTGCGGCGGCGGTTGTTGCTGCTGCGGAGGTGGATAGTGCTGTGAAGGCGGCGGCTGATTATATCGCTGATCCATGGGTGGTGGATTGGGTGACTGGAACGGAAGAAACGGAGAAACAGGGCGAGAAAAAGGTAAATCGAGAGGAACCAAACTTAATAGCGCCTGACAAATCGACTGGCAAGTACCTCATGCAAACTAACATCAAAAGGGCAATAGGAGGCTTCGTGAAAAGACGTATTCGTGAAAATCAAGAAAAATGACGACGGGCCTTTCCACCAGAAAAATGAATAAGCGGGACGCAGAACCAAAGGATTGTTACGAGGAAAACACGACGACCCATAAACACGACCGCCAGAGCCTAAAATACAACTCGGAAGGCATTTCGTAAGGCACGGCAGCAGGGCAGGCGATATCTTACATTAGGATCCCACCCGGACGGACCGGGCGGATAGCCACGCCGATCCATGGCAAAGACGCTGCGTACGATGCGTCGTCACCAAATCTGGATATTCAAAACCAGTCTAGGGTTTCAACGGGACCCTGAAACAAATACCGAAGGGAAAGAGAAATGAGGAAGAGGATTTTGAAGATTGCGAGTGAAGGATGGGATCATGGGATGATGAGGATGATACGGTGAGGAGCATGGTGTGAGCGTGGTCGTGTCTCGGACAGGGTCCAATATCCCTGTAACCACTGTTTGCAGCTGACGAGCAAAACTTCCGTATTCGCTAACCTTCGCTTCTCTTTTGACGACAGAGCATAACCCACAATTGTGTAGTAACCAAGGAATAAATCCTTCTTAGAGCGTATTTATGTGTGGACATTTGTGTCTCAATCCCTCTTTTCCCGAGTCGTGTCGAAACATCTTGTCAATGTCGAGTCACAAAAACTGAATGTATCGCGAAACTATGCGACTAGGCGAAATGCACTGTTGGGCGCATTTGATTGGGTGACACAGATGACTATATACACGTTTCCTCAACCGCTTGGCTGGGGTGTGATTTCAACGCACGGGATTTTTTCCCGCGCGAAATTGGCATTGCAGGCAGACCAGGTGCATTGACATTTGGGACCGCGTGCGATTTTTTTAAAGTGACGAGTCAGTTTACAATTCGTTAGCGACGTCAGCGTGTAACACGCTGACCAATGAAAACATAGTAATGGTCGCTGAAAAGTGACTCGGGTTTGAGACACACTACAGTTTATGTTGTTTTTGGGGTTTTTAGCTACGCCAGAAGAGGTACTTACGACCCTGCGCTCTCCACGGACCTTCATCTCTACCTGCACAGAGTTTCCCAGGTTTCGACGCCCATGCAGAAGACTTATGGGGCTGAGACAGAACTCGGCTCCACGTTTAACCACGTGTCAGTCATTGCACATCCCAACTACTGCTGCTGCCCACAGAGAAACAGTGCACAACCGCTTTTGTTATTTTCTACCGAGCCAAAACCACGTTCTGGATGGCTCGGCAGCTCACTGTTTCGAAATCTGGGAATGTGCACTGTCGCGCCCAATCTCTGTCCAGTCCAGTACACTGTAACACCCGCCAGGCCGCCACAGAAAACGGAGACGAACTCCGTCTAAGCCAGGGTTTGACTGTTTCTGGCAAGCTTTGTTATTGGCTCGCCAGAACAGAAGCGCGAAGTTGTTAAAAGATGAATAGAACAGAATAAAACCTTATACAGAAATTAAAGAGTGTTGAATCAAGGCCTTGTTGTGGTTATAGTTCCGAGCCTTGTTCAATTGGGCGGTTGATCAAATGTTGAACATCAGATGCCACTCGATAAAACGAGTTATTTCCCATGGCACATATAAGCAGCTTCTTTTGAACTTGCACAAACATCGTGCAAGTTCAAATTCAAAACCTTTTGAGCACAAGCCTTGCGTGATCCAGTGTGGTTAGAGTCATGTAGTATAGTCTACAAATATACATACATAACGTGGCATCTTTTTAAAGCATCTAGAGTTTACATGTGGTTAAATATTCCATGGAATTTTATAGCACATAGGGTGGCGCATTATTCTAGAGTTCATACGGTACGTGGTTAAAGATTCCATGTCGTTTTATGCTACGAACATAGTTTTTCGGTGTCACAATTGTCACAAAAAATGTTTTGTGACACTTTCCTTTCTGAGATATCCTGAGCGGAATGTACATTAATAACAACAAAACATCCAGGCCCCCACCTTGCTCACTGTCCCATATCTCTCTTCAGAAGTTTAAGGGCAACAGCGGCAGCAACATCAACCGCAAAAGCAGCTGCAGCTGCAGCGGATAGAGCGTGCATCAGCGGCTGCAGGATCCTACGCTTTCTGGACGCATATACACATCAGCGTTTGATTCTCTGAAGTCGTACCTGTAGCAGGGAGAATTTGCAGAGATGTTGGTATACGAAATTAATGGTGGCAAATGTCTGATTTGGGGTAACCTCTGACCTATGTGAAGGACCAGATGGCCATGAATGCGCCACAGATATAGTACCAGCCCACAAACATAGGGTTTACTTTTGAAACCCTGGAGCTACACATATTGTGTCACTATGGTGTACCAGGGCAGCGTACACACTTGATTCTTATTAAACACGTATTGATGCTACATTCATACATTACACAACTGTTGTAGCGGTCCAGAGGTTTGCAGCTGCATGATGTCCTATTGTTGCTGCTCCTGCTTGTACTTCTGCTGCAGCTGCTACTGCCGCTCTCGATGTTGCTGCCGCATCTGCTGCACCATCTCCTGCAGCTCTTGCCATCGCTGGTTCAACGACCTCTGTTGCTGCGCGCTGTGGTGCATATTCCCGTGAATCTCATGTTGCTGATGCAAACGGAGTAGCACTTGCTGATGTTGGTCCATTTGCTGTTGTTGCAAAACCCTCAAAAGTTCCTCCAGATGCAGCCATTGTCCACGCGACTGCTGCTGCTGCTGCTGCCCCTGCTGCTGCTGCTGCTGCCCCTGCTGCTGCTGCTGCTGCTGCTGCTGCTGCTGCCCCTGCTGCTGCTGCTGCTGCCCCTGCTGCCCCTGCTGCCCCTGCTGCTGCTGCTGCTGCTGCTGCTGCTGCTGCTGCTGCTGCTGCTGCTGCTGCTGCTGCTGCTGCTGCTGCTGCTGCTGCTGCTGCTGCTGCTGCCCCTGCTGCTGCTGCCCCTGCTGCTGCTGCTGCTGCTGCTGCTGCTGCTGCTGCTGCTGCTGCTGCTGCTGCTGCTGCTGCTGCTGCTGCTGCTGCTGCTGCTGCTGCTGCCCCTCCTGCTGCTGCCCCTGCTGCTGCTGCCCCTGCTGCCCCTGCTGCTGCTGCTGCTGCTGCTGCTGCTGCTGCTGCTGCTGCTGCCCCTGCTGCCCCTGCTGCTGCCCCTGCTGCCCCTGCTGCCCCTGCTGCCCCTGCTGCTGCTGCTGCTGCTGCTGCTGCTGCTGCTGCTGCTGCTGCTGCTGCTGCTGCTGCTGCTGCTGCTGCTGCTGCGACTGCTGCGGCTGCTGTCCCTGCCACGGTCCCTGCCACTGTCCCTGCTGCTGTCCCTGCTGCTGTCCCTGCTGCTGTTCAAGTCCCCTCATCCGCTGCTGCCGTCCCAGTTGTCGTTCCTGCATCCGCAACCTTCGCTGCTCACGACGTCGCTTTTGCCCTAACCGCACGTGCTGTTGATCCTGCAGCATGTCCTCGTTGTGATCACAAGCGACCTCCGCCTGTCCCCTAAACAAGGGGTTATCCACAACAATTGATTCTTGGGTATCAGGTAAAGGGGCCTGATCTCTACCGCCTGTAACCTCTATACCACCTCCCATCCCTCCCTCTTCTTCTGCAACTGGCATCTGGTCACCATTCCTCGACTCTGGTGCCACCTCTCTTTGCTGACGAAGGTGCTGCATTTGCCGCAATCTAAAACGAATAACATTGTCACTGTTCTGGCGTCTGGCGTGGCCACTTGTGGGGTTGTTCTGATCAATGTGCACCTCACTTCCACTCAAACTAGCCATTCCCACAAATGCAGCGAGTCCTCCCAAACCTCCCTGCCATTCCCCCACTCTCTGATGCTCCTCCCCTCCCCGCCATTCCCCCACTCTCTGCTGCTCCTCCCCTCCATGCCATTCCCTCACTCTCAGATGCTCCTCCCCTCCCCGCCATTCCCCCACCCTCTGGTGCTCCTCCCATCCCCCCCATTCCCCCACTCTCTGGTGCTCCTCCCATCCCTGCCATTCCCCCACTCTCAGATGCTCCTCCCCTCCCCGCCATTCCCCCACTCTCTGGTGCTCCTCCCATCCCCCCCATTCCCCCACTCTCTGGTGCTCCTCCCATCCCTGCCATTCCCCCACTCTCAGATGCTCCTCCCCTCCCCGCCATTCCCCCACTCTCTGCTGCTCCTCCCATCCCCCCCATTCCCCCACTCTCTGCTGCTTCTCCCATTCCCGCCATTCCCCCACTCTCTGGTCCTCCTCCCCTTCCCGCCATATCCCCACTTGTTGCTGCTCCTCCCCTTCCGGCCATTCCCCCACTCTCTGCTCCTCCTCCCCTCCCTGCCTTTCCACCACGCGTTGCTCCTCCTCCCCTCCCTGCCCTTCCATCACGCGTTGCTCCTCCTCCCCTCCCTGCCCTTCCACCACGCGTTGCTCCTCCTCCCCTCCCTGCCCTTCCACCACGCGTTGCTCCTCCTCCCCTCCCTGCCCTTCCACCACGCGTTGCTCCTCCTCCCCTCCCTGCCCTTCCACCACGCGTTGCTCCTCCTCCCCTCCCTGCCCTTCCACCACGCGTTGCTCCTCCTCCCCTCCCCGTTATTCCCCCATTCTCTGCTCCACCTCCCCTACCCGCCCTTCCCCCACGCGTTGCTGCTCCTTCCCTACCCCCCATTACTCCCCCTGCTGTTTGGCCTCCCCTCCCTTCTGCTCCCTCCCTTCCATTGGTTCCAGAAGCACCCTCATCCGTTGGTTCTTCCTCTGCCTCACCCTCCGACTCCGTACTGCTGTCTCCTTCTTCCTCTGAATTTTCAGCCGCTCCGTCCTCACCACCACCCTCATGAGTCCTCAGTGACTCACACACAACCTCCCTATGGTGCTTTCTATTGCATGTACTACACTGTGCCACGTTCACTCGAGCCTCCGCTTGCGTAGCCGTTTGCACACTCACGTGTCCTTCCGGAGTGTGAAGTGCCTCCCACGCGTCTCTTAACTGTTTTCGTAAGACACATGTCTTTCTATTGTGGCCCTTCTCTTCACACTTCCCACAGGTCCGTAACTTCCTGCCTTCGATCTCACCATGAGACCTCATTCTTTGGTTCTTTGGCCTCCCCGATTTCTTTGGATATGCTGGCGGTTTGATCGTACGATCAGGTGTGAACTCAGTGCGGTCCACCGTTTTAACCTCCGTGCTGTAGAGTTCCCTTAATGCCGCTGAAGTGTAACATCTGTGGACCATGGCCTGCACCGCCTGTTGCACATCCGTCAGCTCATTGCCGCGTGACTGTCTGCTTATGTAGATTAAAACGGCAAACATGTGTACGCATGGCAGTCCATACTCACTGCATGTGTGCAAGGGAAACAAAACACGGACAGAAGTTATGTAGCTACAGTTACATCACATATGGCAATCGAGGTGCTATGGGAAATTTTGGAAAACGCATGATATGAATGTTTAACAATGCGGATTGCTCCCAAACCGATGAATCATATAAGGCCTAGGCTCTACCAAACTCACATAGAATAATTACACAAGCATCGCGTCTTCTCAGGATGCTCCACCTCCATGTTCACCACACGCTCCTCCTTAGCGCCTGTGGTGCGGCTCACGTGGTATGCACTTTGGCCCGTCTTTTCCACACCATACTGCGTCCCCGTTTGGCAGTTTGCCCGGATGATGGCTGCTGTCTTCTCGGGGAAATCAGCGACCCCAAGATCCCCATACAGCTGACGCCCCTCCTGCATTGCGGTCGCTTGCTGTGTTATAAACTCAAGCAACACTTGCGCAGGATTGTCCCTCCTTATTTTATGCATGGAGGCATGGTGTGACTCCACCGGGTTAGATGTGTAGCAGCCAAATCGCGCTGCACCGAATAAAAAGGTAGCCCAATGAGCGCCCAAACCTTCTCTCTCTAAGTACTCTTTCCCCCCCGGGCATTCCTCCTCGATTTTCTCCAAGTAGCCTCGGTGCACATCTCTTGTCAATGCTGCTGCAGCAAGCTCAATCTTGCCATCCGAATCCGAGCCGAATTTCGAGTTGAAGTTTCTTACCAAGTGAGTGACACAAAATGATTCGCGCATCCCAGACAACACCCTTGCAGCAGCAGCCTTCCAAGCTTTACCACGATCATGCATCAATGTAAAAGTTGGGGTGTTGATCTCAGGAGCAGCTAGTTTCAGCTGCCCCAAAAAATACTCACATGAATCGGCATTCTCCCCTTCTACCCAGGCACTCCCTAGCCTGACCAGCTTGTGTTCACAGTCAAGCATGCATGCATTCAGGGTATATCCTCCCCACTTCCCTTTGTTGTGACAGCCATCAACAAAGACGACTGGCAAGCAGTTTTTGACTATTTCTCGAACTCCGGGGTAGACCAATGAGGCTCGATGAAACATTCCGTCCTTCACCGACGTAGACACCACACATGACGGATTGTCTCTCTTGAAAACATCCAAGATGCTGGGTATGTATTGAAAGCCGGAGTCTCCAGCTAGCGGGTCCTCGCAAACGACAGCATTAATTGATCGACCGCACGTACTATAGCAGCACTCCACCCCTAGTTTCTCTTTAACCATGTTTCGAAGACCAGCGGGCCTAATCTCACTATGAGGATGTACTTCACGCACCAACTTCTTAACCTGCTCCCTCCTAATCCGACCAGGGGGTGGCACACACGTGTCTGCGTGCTTCAGCGTCATAGATTTTACACTAAAGCAACAATTTCTTGGGCCGATCGCTAAAATCCTGAACGGACAAAACCCCCTAGGTGCAACGGCCTCATTCTTGGGCCAATCTTTGTCTTTCATGGACGGACAACGTGCTTCTAGGCGATCTGGCCTGTTGTGGTAATACCAAGGTTTAAAGTTTTTCCAGTCTCCATACGCTTCTATTTCGTCCCTAGCGGCGCTCACAGATGAGTAGACCTTTCCTTGATAGATGTTGACCTCCTTGGAGTTCTGTCCAAGAAATGCACTGCTCAAGAAAGTACAATGGCATGGAGAGAAATAAAACTCGTTGTCAACACATGCAGCCTATACACTGTGCAACATTGCCTGCCTAAACATAACGCTGCAACAATAAACAAGTAACATCACCTTGAGAGAGTGCTTCTGAACATTGTGCACACGGAGCCTTCTTATTCACAGTAGTTGTAAACCTGTACACTCAGAGTTGTAAGGAGCTTTGGATCTTATGAAAAGCAGCAACAAAAAGTAAAAGACATTCGTTGAGAAACCGAGCCAGAATGATTGAATCAATAGACCATAGGAGAAAACCTAAAAGTTGTGAGGAGGGAGGGGTTGCGTGATAGTATACGTGAAGTTGAGAATAACAACTTAAATAGTTGTTCTAGTATGAGAACAGAGTAGAGTAGGTGTGGTGATTATTTGAAAGAGGAAGGTTACGCGCGACATGTGTCGTGAAGATTGCTCAAAATCGGTAATAGCAATGTAGTGTGTGTAGAGGTGAGCTGAAACTTGATTGACGAGTAAAGAGTAAGTGGCGAAGATGAAAATGAAGGTGGGCGGTACTTTGGTATAGCTTACCAATGAGTGCTCGTGGCGGAATAGAAAACGGAAAGATGATACCGAGAAGATGGAAAAGACTAGCGGCTATTGGAGAGTCGTAGGCAAAGTGCTATGGAAAATGGTGGTAAAAGGGTCGGTGTGAAAGGCAATATGGCGTACCTAAGAGAATACGCGATGCCACGACAGCGGCATACGAATGTTACCGAACGGAAATTGTACGCAAGGTGTGTGTCCGCTGGAAACGTAGGAGGATAAATAAACCATGGAGTTAACACCACTCGCTGTGAAGCTAACCCTAATTTGTAACGATCGGGTACGGATGCTACGTTATGTTGGAGAGTGAATTAGAGTAGGATGAGAGGGCTGCAGTTTTACGTTAGGTTTGAAGTCGCTGGCTTAGACGGAGTTCGTCTCCGTTTCCTGTGGCGGCCTGGCGGGTGTTACAGTGTACTGGACTGGACAGAGATTGGGCGCGACAGTGCACATCCCCAGATTTCGAAACAGTGAGCTGCCGAGCCATCCAGAACGTGGTTTTGGCTCGGTAGAAAATAACAAAAGCGGTTGTGCACTGTTTCTCTGTGGGCAGCAACAGTAGTTGGGATGTGCAATGACTGACACGTGGTTAAACGTGGAGCCGAGTTCTGTCTCAGCCCCATAAGTCTTCTGCATGGGCGTCGAAACCTTGGAAACTCTGTGCAGGTAGAGATGAAGGTCCGTGGAGAGCGCAGGGTCGTAAGTACCTCTTCTGGCGTAGCTAAAAACCCTTGTTTTTGAGTGTCTCAAAGCGATTGAGACATTTGTGTCCACACAGGAATGCACCGTTACCGTAAAAAATACAAAACAACATAGTTCTACGAGGGTTGCTAATGTTATACATGCAGTTCAGTATATGCAATCGCTCAGAAACCCATGTTCCAGCTATTGATTTGTGTGTAACAAAACATTCGACGAGAACTTTCATACCAGTCTAGCCGATTCCTTACTTGTGAAGGCTCCTTGGTTGAAAGCATGTTTTTTCCTTGGAACAAGGAAAATGCACCAATTAATATTGCATGATGTTACGAATTCTATATTAAGAAGAGAACTATGCACTCCTGACAGCAGCAAATGAAGCACGCAGTATTGAAGCTGGAAACGAACAGTCAGGGTTGACTCGAAGCGACGCAGACAATTGGAATGGATCTGGACCGTCGGAGCAGACGGCATCGGCCAGCTGCAGGAGCTTGGGAAATGGCGGGAACGGTTTCGTAATTGTACGCGCCGCACGGTTGGGTTTGGATTTCAATAAGGGAATGTACTTCTTAGAGTACGTGGCTAGCTAGGACGTTTGGTATGCCCCTGTATTTGCATGTTTTGAGTATCTCGATCATTTTACATTTACCTTGATTCGAGGTCAAGGGCCCACCACTCACACACCTACTTTTTGCGAACCTTCCTGAGGTGATCCTGGTTACGATCAATCTCTGATCGCAGCATGGTATCAGAGAGACTCATGAAACCTTCACAACGCCACCCCCGAAATGATCGGTGATCTAAATTGGCGTCCGGCACACGCTCGCGCGTAAGAATGGCCGGAGGGTCTGGAGGTCAGACAAATCTGACTGCTGAAGCGCAGCCCAACCCGGCTGCGACAAACGAGGCGAAGACGACGATCGGAACCGCGGTCATCGAACAACTGCTTCAGCGACTCACAAACTTGGAGCAATGGCTCCAAACATTGCGGAATGGCGACGCGGGAACATCTTCCCAACCCTCTCAACCGACCTCAAATGACAACAATACCGCCCCGCACACCTTCTCCCTCCGAACGAATGGCTCAACCCCCAAGACTCCCCGTCCCAGCGAAGAAGCAATTCTCTCTGCGCAATCAAGGTTCCTGTGTGTTACAATCCCGAATGGGACTTAACCAGGGATCGGCTCAGGGTTGTTCAAAGGTAGTGTTGCAGCGGAAGTGTTGACCTCAGGTCAGAGTGAATGTAAAATGACTGAGATAATAATAGCATGCGTACATCGGGTTTATATAGGAAATACAGGGAATACGAAAAGTCCTTGACTAGTCATGCACTCTAAAGGGTACATTCCCTTATTGCAACGAAGTTCAAACCGTGCGGCGCGGGAACCTGTTTCAAACCGTGTCAGAATACCAAGCAGGAATGAGTGCATTGAATGAAATGTGGGTACAAGTACTAACCCTAACTTTGGGTTGTACCCCATATGGGCTACCCCACTATAGCCTACACAAAACTAGCACAGATGTAGTTTGACACACCCCCATAGGCAAAGTGGGGGAGAACAAGGGGTCACAAGACCAATCAAGAAAAGCAAAGCAAGCTCAGGGTGGATCACAACGTCACCACACACTCCGAGCACAAGCAAAGGGCCACAAGGCCAGTTCACATGCAGAGGTATATATGCAACAACAACAGTACAGTGATCACTACCTAGCAAGAGCAAGCATGCAAGTAAATATGTAAATCACAGTACAAGCAAAGTCACGAAGTGAGCAAGTGAGACGAAACAGGCACAAGGCCTAGCATAGTACAGAAGCGCTGATGATCACCAAACGGAAGTGCCTTGGTGAATATATCAGCAGTGTTGGCCCGGGTGGCCACGTAAGCAACACGAAGCTGACCACGCTGCTGCAACTCTCGAGCAAGGAAGTAACGCAGAGCGATGTGCTTCGTTCTGTGCTCCAGTCTGTGCTCCTGACACAAGGTAATAGCAGCCTTGTTGTCGACGTACAGATAGGAGGAGAACGAGGCCGCTCTCCCAAGTCGGTCAGCAGATAGGTGAGCCAGCGTAACTCCTGTGCAGCCATGACTGTGGCGTAGATCTCAGCCTCACAACAGGAGCTGAGAACAGAAGACGAGTGGGTAGACCGCCAAGAAACAGAGCCACAGCCAAGGCTGAAAGTGTAACCCTGTGACGACCACTGCGTAGCCAGGTCGTCAACCCAAGACGCGTCCGAGTGTCCAGTGAGGACAACCTCACCCCGTCCTCCAAGCACGAGCCCCATGCCCGATGTACTGCACATGTAGCGCAACACACTCTTAGCAGCCTCCCAGTGCTCTCGCCGGTGTCTCCCAGGCGCAACGTAGCGAGCCAGGATGCTAAGGGGGTACGCAAGGTCAGGTCGAGTGCAGGTCATCAGGTACATGAGGCAGCCCACAAGCTCTGGGTACGGGCCACTCGGCTCTACGGACTCATCCGAAGGCAGAGCTGAGAGCGAGTGACCGGTAGCCATAGGAGTGGACTGTGGCGAGGACCAAGTGAAGCCGAAGCGCTGAAGGACCTGCTGCACCATGTGTGACTGAGTCAGTGTGATGGTGCGTCGTGCTCTGTCCCGGGTGATCTGCAAGCCAAGATAGCTGCGCAGCTCACCCAGGTCTGTGCACATGTGTCTCTTCTGCAGCTCCGACTTCACAAGGGCGAGTGCCTCAGTGTCAGCAGTGGCAAAGATCAAGTCGTCGACGTACACGAGGATGTAGAACAGCGGCAGCGAAGTGTCGGTGCGCAGAAACAGCGACGGGTCAGCAGTGGAAGGGGCAAACCCAAGAGCCGCAAGTGTAGTCTGCAGTGGAAGGGGCAAACCCTCGCACAGCTGCTGA